CATCAGATCACTTAGAAGCTGATGAAATAATTAAGGAGTACAATGGCCTGGCCCTGACGGAGTGTCTCTGTCTCCTCACTGCAGATAGATGCGATCACTTTGTTCTTTAACAACCTTTATTATGAAATGGTGTGTTTATGCCACAGCGGGGCTGCCATTTCCCAACCCCGGAGCACTCTTAATTCTAAGAGGCTTGATTGGAGCCTCGGGGGTCCCCAAAGATGTGCTGTTTCCACTTTATCAAATGACATTCTTTTCTCACAGTTGTCAAAACCGTGATACTGGTTGATAACAACTTTGAGTAGTTTTAATGACCCTTGACTGCTTAAAACATACTACTTTAAAAAGGATCTCTGGTCTGACTTACTGAATATAAGTGATAACGATTTTTAAATGTTTTGTGAGAAGCCATGTTTCCATTTGCTGGAAGAATTCAGGCGTGCTAGTGAGGCCCGTGTGCTGTGGATGTCGAGGTTGCTGGGTTTGGTTGAAGTGGCGCATTCCTAAGCCCCCTATCAGTTTAATACAGTAGCTGGAGTGTGTTTAAGGAATGAATTGGGAAGGTGAAGTGAAGTGCTGAGCTATGACTGTGTGTGTGCAAGTTTTAGAATTATAAGTAACCATAAAAAATGAGATAGTTGTGAGTATGCAAATTGATTAAACATAATGAGGATTTAAATTAAATTACAATTGGAACCTATAGGATAGTTTTAAAATTACTAAGTGTTCCAAAAAACCTGGGAAGCATCTATAGGACAACTACTAAAATTGAATAAAAATACTGCCATTAAATACTCTGAACAGTGAAGGGCTGAGTCCCAGCAGGTGGTACATTAAACTGAGACTACAGAAGTCTTCCTTTGCACACCGTACCCATCTCCAGAGTTGGGTGGAGAGGTGTTGGCTAGTTTAAGTGCACGTGGAAGAATGTGTGTCATTGCACAAAGGAGCAGGAGCATTCTTAGGTTTGGGTGAGGGGAGCCTGCTTATTGAGTGTAGTTTTAATGGGCTCATTTTGGGGGCAACAGAAGAACTTGGCTGAAATGCTGACCTTTCTCAGCTCCCTAAGGGGAGCTGGGTTCTCCAGGGGGTCATACAGTAGGACAGGTTTGCAGTGTGGTATGTGGGGCAGAGGTTTTTGAATTTAGACCAAGAGGCAAGATAGAAATCTGTCTTTTAAGGAAGTAGAACGGGGATCCTTCTCCTCAAATCTCCAGCCCATGATGAGCAAGCTCTTCACATAAATAGGGGGGGCCCCGTGAGGCGGCCTTCATCTTCCACATCAGATCCTCTTAGGGCCTCACCTGTGAGCCCCGTTACTCCTTGCTCGGGGTAGCAGCATAACTGCTTACTGGAAATCCAGGGCCAGTTTGGTAATTTTATGATAAAACTGAGAAATACAAACACTAACCCTGAAAAGACAGCTGAGTAAGTTTTGTGAGACAATCACACCCTGAGCCTTTGTTCTCAAGCTTCCCGGCTTTGACCTACACTGCCCTAAGTCCAGGCTCATTTTCAACGTGGTTTTTTGGAGACATTGAAGATGTTAAGATACTTAAATGGACCGGAAATGCAGACTCCAGATAGATTTTATTTTTGGATCAGTATTAGGAGAAACACTCCTTAATACTTTTTTGGCTTTCCTACCTGTATCAAATCAGGATGAGTTAAAAATTTCAGTTATACAAAACATTTTGTTTTCATTTTAACGTGTATTTCTTGACAAGTTGTTGAATTATTAATTGAAAGGAGATTTCTTTCTTAATTTGGAAAATAAGCAGGAGACTTGAAAAAGCCAGACATAAATAATTTTAGTGTTCAACAAAAGATAGGGAGAGGAGTATTTAAATGTTAAAGAAAGATCTTGGGCCTTAAAGGCATTGCCTAAGCTTGTATTGAACATGAAGTTAGTTAAATCAGGTCTAATTTAGACCCTCAGCTTTTGGCCTTCTGAAAAAAATGGTATAATGTGAGTGGTGGGTGTATGGGGCATGGTTATGAGTGTGTTTGCACACGGTAACTTGTGTGCGAAGACACAGGCACAAGCACATACACACGTTCAGTGTTGTCTTTGTAGAATTAAAGAATACAGGTGAAGATAGACTTTTAAAATTTGCTGTAATCATTTTTTCCCCTTGGATTAATCCTGTCACCTTTTTTTTTGTTGTTTTTTTTTTGGTACCTAGGGTTGAACTCAGGACCTTGCACTTTCAAGGCAGGTGCTGGAACCACTGAGCTAAATCCCCGGCCCAATCATGTCACCTTTTAAAAATATTTAAGCTTATATGATAAAGTGGAAGTAATAGAAACTCACTGATAGTGGTGCCTAATCTTTAGAATTTGAAAATGTTCTCCCCTTATAGCTCTCGTTTTTCGGCTCAAGATGGAGTTTTTGAAGGCCAGTTTATAGATAGATCATAGTGTCTGTTAGTATTGATCATATTGAAACCAAAACTAGTAGCTGGTGCTTGAAGTTCTGGTTAAGATTCTTCAGAGGACCTCAGCTGCCTTGGGATGAGTCAGGCAGTTTCTCATTGTGCTCACTATATTTTTTGTATCACTTTGGTCTTTCATCCTGTTCAGAACTGAACATTTATGTAATTCTGAGGAATTGGGGGTCTTCCCAAGTTTTACCTGTGAACTAAGTAGTAGTTTGGGTTGTAATGCTGAATTTAAACTTGGACTATTGCAGTCTTTCTTTTTTGATTGTTGAGCATTTTAGCGTTTTCCCACAGCTATATTAGGAAAATTGAGTTGTTTAGCTTGTGGATGTGACTTGGTGATTTTTCCTGACATAGTTTTGAAGGGTTTAAAATTAGGGGTCGATTGCTACTCGATCATGCAGTTGTCTCCCTTTGCAGGGGTAAGAAAAAGTAATATGTGTAAAATACAGAGGAAAAACAAACAGAAATGCTTCCAAGTTTCCAACCAGAACTTGGAGATAATTTGATAGTTTTGGAGAAACAAATGAATTGACCAGAGAGTAGCATTTTATGTTGAATATTTTAATAACTGCTTACTTGGGCACTTCACTAAGTTGGGAAAAGGTAAGTTTGTAGGAATACTGTAAATTATTTGTATATAAATGGAATTTTTACATTTTTTTGACAGTTTTTTGAGAACTTGGAATACTGGTCCGTACTATGGTAGATAAATACTCCACAGGAAAAATGTAAGAGAACCTGTTGAGGTGGAACAGAGATGCTGTTTCTAGGAACAGTATGTCCAAGTTCTGGTGATTGTCAGTAAGTGGCAGTTGCCCCAATTTGTTTTACTGCCACATGAATTGTGCTTTTCAGTAAGCAATGTATAGTGTGTAATATTTGCTAATTCTAAGATCTACAGGTAGGGATAGAATTTGTAGTTTAGCTATAAATGAGTGTCTGATTAATGACTTAAGAATATCATGCATTTCAGGCCATTACAGCAGTGTGGTTCTCTCACTGATTGATCTTGAGGTGACATGGTATTGCTTTAAATATTGTTTTATTGGCTAAGATGATCACTGGGCAGAGAGCCCCAGTGCCCTCCATACTCCCAGGTGGTGTTGAGTGACCTCTTGCTGTAGGTGCCTGGAGCACTGTGGTGAAGGTGAAGCGCTGTCGGTCACCTGAGCAAAGATGTTAAGAAGTGTTCAAACATTTTGCCAAGTACCCTTTAATAAGCCCATCTCATTGCAAGCTCAGAACACTTTGCCTGTGATGTTGGGTTGTGATCCCCCCCCCCCCCCCAAGAGAGAGAGCAGCAGCGCCGTGGTTGCTGGTGCCTGGTGTGAGGGACCCGGGGAGGCCCCGGTGCTGCGCCCTGGGTCGCTGGAGAGCTGTCGGAGGATGTGTGTCAGATTCTGTCTGGCAAGTGCTGGGAGTATTTCAGTCTCCATTATTGCGACCACTTCAGGCTCTTGTTTAGAGAGTGTAAATCGGTGCTAAGTGAAGTAGCTGAGAGTGCCCTTAGGTCTGAGAGGTGTGGGGTGCCCACCTCGTGGGTTTTGGGGGGGTGCGGGCCTTCTTGTTTCTGTGGTTCCCCAGGGTCGAGTGCAGGGCCTCACTCGCCCAGCTGAGGGAGCCACATCGCATCCCAAGGGTGCTTTTTTTCTTTGTGCCGGTCAACTTCATGGTGTGATTTCTTTATTACAGTCATGAGGTGGCAGAGAATGGTAATCAGAGGGCAGTGACAGCCATCGAGAAGTTTTGGTGAACACTGTTAATGTCACGTCAGTTAGGATTGGTCCCTGTGGCCAAAGTCATCCGCCTGCCTGCCTTTTGGCCTGGGCTGATTCTTACTCACCAGGTGTTCCTGAGGGCCCAACCCTGTGCTAGGCACTAGGGACAATTTCTTTCCTGGCAGGGTTTTTGGAGATGGGGTGTCACTGTGCAGTGGGCATTACCACTGACTAAAGACAGTGAGCTACTGGAGATGGCAGATAGTTGTGTCAGCATCCAGTGAGTCCAGGATATCCTCCTGCCTCAACCTCTGGAGTGCTGGGAACACAGCCATGCACTTCCGCGCCCGGCTCCTAACAGGATGATTCTAGATAGGGACAGCTGACACTGAGCTGTGGTAGAAAGCAGCGGGGCAGGGGTTGTGCTGGGCAGGGGCCAGCTAGCCTTGGAGTTGAGTCCTAAGGATTGCTCTGGCTCGAGGTCTCCCAGAGCTCTCCATGGCAGCATATTCGTGTTAGCCCAGCACTCTGGGAAGCTGAGGCAGGAGGATCCTGGGCTACATAGACTGTTTCCAAAAAGCCAAAGAGGGAAAAAAGTTGTCCGGTGCTCGGACAGCTGGGCAGTTGCCGACCTGGCAGCTTCTGTGGAGGGGCTTCCCCGCCCACATCTCACCTGGGGAGAGGAGCTCCGGCGCCTCCCTCAAGCTCTGCTTCTGTTCAGGTTGTGCATCTCCCCCCCCCCCCCCACCCCCCACCCCCCGTCTTCGAAGGTCCTGAGTGAAGAATGATGGTGACCTCTCCTAGCTCATTTGAAAATTTCAGAGATAAAGTTTGGGCCCAAACCATCTTTCAAAGATAAGAGTTTTTCCAGCAGTTAAACTGTGCTGTGACAGGGTGGGGAAGCAGGGACAGACCCGCTGCCTTCTTCTAACCAGAGACTGAGCAGGGCTGGCATCATATCTTGGGAAAGGATGTCTGTCCATACTAAGGCGAGGTTCCTCAAACCTGTACAGGTTTTTTTCTTGTGATACTGGGGATTGAACCCGGGACCTTGCATTCGGTAGGCAAGGACACTGAATCCTGCACCCCAGCTCAATTTCCTTTAAAAAAAAAAAGGTATTACTTTGATTTTGCCTAAAAGGATGCTATAAAACAACTATTTGCCATCAACAGTGTCATTCTTTTTAGTAGAAAGGACCTCAGTCAGTGATCTATTCAAATTCAGATTAGTCCTGGTGGCTGTGTGTAGCGCTCTTTGGATAGCCTCTTCCTCGCTGAGCTACTGGCCGGTGAGGACACAGCATGTCAGGGCAGCGTGTGAGAACTACTTTTCTAGAATATGTGCCTGGCTTCTTAAGTTAAAGTATTTCCAGGACGTTGACATTCAATAAATAGTTGTTGAACGAGTAAATGATGACACAGAAATCCCAGTTAGCAGTCTCATGTACACATGTGATCCACAGAGCCATCGCGTATTCCCTTCAGTATACAGACCAACCCTCAGAATCAAGCATTTAGCCACATTAACTGGTCGTGGAGAGATGAGCTGGGTAGTGGTGGCAGCTGTATGGCCGCTCACAACCAGACTAGAACCCAGGTCTCTGGAGTGTTCTGTTGCATCACACAGGCTGCGTTGAGATAAAGCCCTGCAGTGTTCTTCCTCCACCCTGTCTAATCTGGAGAAAAAGCTTACTGTTAAAACTGTTCTTTATTGGAGACTGAAGATCACAGGGGAGGTTATTTCCCCCAGTGTAGGAAGCGGAAGAGCCTCCTGAGCGCAGGCCCTGGCCCTTCCCCTGCGGAAGTCGGAAGGAGGGATGTGCTCTGCTTGTGTCCACCCGTGTGCTGGGAGCGCCTCTGTCTTCTCGTTTTCTTGGGTAGAATGAAGACTCCAGTTCTAACGCAGCTGGGACTACATGAAGATGTCCGGTGCATGCAGTAAAGGGGGGAGGTGGTGGCGTTAGATAGAGGCCAGTTCTTCCTTCTCCCAGAGTGAAAATGGGCCTCCAGAGCTAAATAAAGTAATCCTTTTGCCACCTGGCCAACACATAACGTGAAAGGTGGATTTAAAACAACTCAGGGATCCTTTTTCTATTGAAACACTAAGCCCTGTTGAAACGTCTGTGTTGAAAGTTTTATGATAAATGTGTACATTCACAAAGCAAGTGGCTTTGTGTACTCATTTCCTTATTTGTTGTGTGGACTGGGAAGTCCTGTCCGGTGCTCTGCAGGGCAGAGAGTTGTGGAAAGCACCTGGGATCTGGATGGCAGATTGGGGTCTAGGATACCCAGGAACCCAGGTACATCATGGCGCCACTCCCCAGTGTCTGCATCTCCTGGAGGGAGGAGTTCAGGGAAGGACCCTGTTTGTGTGCTTGTTTTTGACCTCTGTAGGTATAATTTTCCAGTATGCTTCCTAGCATTTGTTTCTTGGTAGGTAGGTTTGTTACAGAAAACAACTTTAAGGGCAGGGGATTTAGCTCAGTGGCACGGTGCCTGCCTGACAAGCGCAAGGTCCTGAGTTCCATCCCCAGTACCAAAAAAAACCAAAAAAAACAAAAAAAATTTTAAGCACTTTGAAGGTTTTGCCTGAAGTGGTTTAATTGTGTCATCTTGATTTCTTACAACTCTTGCAGCCTCTGGAAGCTATGTATAGGGTGTGTGTGTGTGTGTGTGTATATATATATATACACACACACACATACACTATATGTATACATTACATATATATTACATATATACAAATAGCTATTGTGTGTATATATGTGCATCTAACTGGTGTTTAAAATAGATTCAGCTGAATTCAACAATGTTTTTTTTTGGTACCAGTGTTCGAACTCAGGACCTTGCACTTACGAGGCAGGCGGCAGCACCACTGAGCTAAATCCCTGGCCCTGAATTTAACAATTTTTGTTTTAAAACTTGACCTTTTAAGTGAAAAAAGCACCTTGTCTTTCTGGCTGTAACTCTGCTCATTTAATAAGTGTACTGACTGGGAAGTGCCAGTGATTTAGGTGACAGACACGCTCAGCAGGACTTGGTGGGAACCAAAGGTGAGGCAGTTGAGTTGGGCACCTCCTTGGCCTTGTGGAAAGACCTCGAGGATCGCGTGCAGCCCTCTTCCCGGCGTGGCTCACTGACCGTGCCTGTGTTTCCCCCAGGTTTTGAGCGTCCCCTGTCTTCACGGTGCTGCTCAGTGGAATCACCTGCTCCATGGGGACTGCGAGAACTGATGCTGTGTGCTGATCCACGTCCCAGGTTGGCTTCCGGCAGCCTGCCCGCCTGTTCTGCGGCACGCGTGACCCTCTGCATCGCTGAGCTCCCCGGAAACTTTGCACGAGAAGTTACAGGAACGCACACTTCCTTCTGACCTTTATAATACACATTTGCTCTGGTTTCGAAGCCCAGGGCCGCTGGAGGGGTGAGTGACAAGTCTCACAAGTGGCCTTATTCTGCCCGACTCAGCCCCAGCGGAACTCGAGTCCTACTGTGTGCGCGCCCTCCCAGCAGCAGCCATGCCGACGCAGTCCCTCCTCGTGTACATGGACGGCCCTGAAGTGATGGGCGGGTCCCTGGGCGCCCAGATGGAACCCGATGATGCTTTGTCAATCAAAGGGGCCCCCGCTGTCCCTTTCCGAGCTTCGCAAGAGAAGAGCATCATCCAGCTGGAAGGGTACATGCCCTTGGACTGCATGTTTTGCAGCCAGACCTTCACCCTCTCGGAAGACCTCAACAAGCACGTCCTGCTGCAGCACCGGCCCACCCTGTGTGAGCCCGAGGTCCTGCGGGTGGAAGCCGAGTATCTCAGCCCCCTCGATAAGAGTCAGGTGCGCTCGGAGCCACCCAAGGACAAGAGCGCCAAAGACAGTGAAGACTTCAGCTGCGAGGTCTGTGGGCAGGCGTTCAGGGTGGCTTTTGACGTGGAGATTCACATGCGGAAGCACAAAGATTCCTTCACTTACGGGTGTAACATGTGCGGGAGGAGGTTCAAGGAGCCGTGGTTCCTGAAGAATCACATGCGGACGCACAACGGCAAGTCGGGCACCAAGAACAAGCTGCACCCAGGCCTCGAGGGGCCTGTCACCATCAACGAGGTGGTCCAGGCGCACTCAGCTGGGAGCGTCTCGTCTCCTTACAAGATCTGCATGGTGTGCGGCTTCCTGTTTCCAAATAAAGAGAGCCTGCTGGAGCACAGCAAGGCGCACACCAAAGAAGCTGCTTCCGGGAGCAGCAGGACGCAGAGCGACTCTAGGCCGGAGGCAAGCCTGGCTCCCAGGGAGGAGCTGCTGCAGTTTCTAAACCTAAGGCCCAGTGCTCGCGACGAGGCCGGCAGGAGGCCCGCCCAATGCATACCTCAGCTCGACCCCTTCACCACATACCAGGCATGGCAGCTGGCCACCAAGGGGAAGGTCGCCGTGGCCCAGGAGGAAGTCAAGGAATCCGGGCAGGAAGGGAGCACCGACAACGATGATTCGTGCTCGGAGAAGGAGGAGCTCGGAGAGATTTGGAGTGGGAGCAAGTCGGAAGGTTCCGGAAAGTCCAGAGTGAATAAAAGCAGCTACACAGGCCTCTCCCAAGACAGAGAGAAGCCCAGACATGCCAGTGGTGAAGTGCCTTCCGCCGACGGGGACCCCAAGGCACCCGGTAGCAAGGAGAAGCCCACGCACTGCTCTGAGTGCGGCAAGGCCTTCCGGACCTACCATCAGCTCGTCCTGCACTCGCGCGTGCACAAGAAGGACAGGCGGGTGGGCGCAGAGTCGCCCACCATGGCCGACGGCAGGCGGCCGGGCACCCGCTCCCCCGACCTCGCCCCCTCCCTGGACGACGGCGTGGCCCTGGACCGCGAAGGCGGCTCGGAGGACGGCTCTGAGGACGGGCTCCCAGAGGTGCTGCCGCTGGGTGAGTGGGCCTCGGGCCTGGGCCAGCTGGCCGGGTGGGGTGGGGCTCAGGTCCAGGTCCAGGTCCAGGCCCTGCGTGGCCCTTTGTGGTGCAGGCCACAGGTCTGCCCAGGCTGCAGTGGCTGTGAAAATCTCAGCTTTTGCATTTCACTCACAAAGGACGCGCGTCCTGATGTCTTGCACCTCAGCTGTGGCAGCAGCTCTCGGTCATCTTCTGTCAGTGTTGGGACACAGTTTTGGTTGTCACAGCTGGGCCAGTGCAGCCTGTGTGTTGCCACCCAGTGGGTACGAGGCCAAAGGGTGCTTTGAGGCGGGGTACACAGCCCACTCCTGTGGCCTGGAGCTGTCTAATGTGAGGGGAGAGCCTCTAGCTTCGCTTACCCTTTCTGGCATCCCCGATTTTATTTATAAAACCAAGCCTATCTGTCTAGGCCCGGTTTTTCTTTTTTTTTTTTCTTTTCTTTTTCTATTACTAGGGATTGAGCCCAGGGCTTCATACATGCTAGGCAAGTGCTCTACCGTTGAACTACATCCCCAGCCCTTACTTTATTTTGAGATAGTCTCACTAAGTTACCCAGGTTGATCTTCAACTTGGAACCTTCCTGACTCAGCCTTCTGAGTGGCTGAGATTACAGGCCTGATCCACTGCCTGGCTCAGGCCCACTCCTCATATATTCACTAGATGGTTATTTACTCAGTGTTTGTGGTATCGGGGATTGAACCCAGGCCTTTGCGCTGAGCTATGTCCTCAGCACATGCCCCACCTCCTTTTTAATTTTTACGTGGAGACACGGTCTTGCTGAGTCTCTCAGGCTGGGCCCAAACCTGTGACCCTCTTCCCTCCACCTCCCAGAGTGCCGGGAGGACTGGTGTGTGCACCATGGTTGACTTAACATGGGCTTCTGGGGGTCACAGGGCCCAGGGAAGGATCATCAGCAAGAACCAGGTATTCCTGCTAGGAGAGTCGTTTGGTGCTTTCTGATTGGCCCATCCTGTAGATCTGGGAGGTGCTGTGTCATTAACAAGTTACCTCAGTAACCAGAGTGATGTGTGCCTGAAATACAGGGAATCTGAGCACCCCAAAGACGACTTTCTCAGATGCTCACGGCTTGGTAAATAAACCTTGCAGTGCATTAGTGGCAGGTGTAGATCTGAAAGCACCACTGATGGCTTCACCGAGAAACTCACCTTGCTTCCAGTGGGGAAGGCATTTTCTGGGTCACAGACGTGCTCAGCTGTGTTTCTAGTCCTGCTGCCCTGCTCGTGTAAACCAGTAAACCAGGACGTCTCAGATCCTTGCTATATTTGCTGAATAAAGGATTCTGCTGCTTAGGAATAGTGTGCAAAGCCCTGATGTGTAGAGCACATGCACCACGAGAATGGCGAGGGCAGGAGTGGGTCTTAGAAGACCGACACTTGGAACTGTGGTCTTTGCCTTCTTATCTGCTGTAACTGCTGTGGGGAAGTCTTGTGGGAATTGTGGATGCGCCCCACGCACGGTTGGCCACATACTGGGTCAGAGACTTCACCTGTCTTCAGTCTGACCAGTTCTTGTTCCGGTCACGTGATCAGCTTGAGAGCCATAGTTTTCATATCACTTATTTAATGTGCTGAGCTTGTTTGGACCACGGGAGCCTGTCCCGTAGCGTATCATAAATGCTGTTCCAGAAATCTAGAAAACCTGCCGTGGTGTCTTGGTGACATCATGCAAAGGCCTTAAACCCAGGCCTTGTGGGCTGGACTGTGGAAGACCCGCTCACCGGGAGGCAGTGTGGGAAGCTGGGGCCGGGTCCCCGGGACAGTAGAGTGCAACCTGAGCTCAGGTTCTACCACTGCATTGTTCTGTGACTAGTTATGTGTTGCTCAACTTTTCTCTGTCCCACTTTTCCTGTTTGCAAAATTGGCTCACTGACCCTTGTCTTCCACTTCCCAAGGATAATTTCAACAGCCTATTTGAAAGAAGTTCACTCTCCCTTGAGAAGAACGAACAGCACTGTAAAATCAGAAAAGTTGCTAAAAGGCAGGGTCCAGGCACACGTGGCATTTCACGTCCTTTGTTTTAAAATGAAGGCATTTCGTAATTTTGGCTATGGTGTGACATAAGGTCCGTGCGTGCCGTGCTGACACATGGTTGGAAGTAGGAAATTTCAGATAAGGTGCAAATCTAGCTCTAAACACAGCTAGTTGGGTGTAAGAAAGTCAGATGTTCTGTTTTTAATTAACGGATGTTCCTAAATTTAAGTTTTTTAATGTGGCCTCTGGCCCAGATTTATCTTACTGTACTATCAATCTGGCTTTCTTTGGGTTTACTTTTAAGAAGATCAAAAGCAAAGTCAATGATTAATTTTCAAAGTCTTCCCGGTACCTTTTTAGGTCAAGGGTTGTCTCTGTCTTGTAGGAGGACACGCCTCCCCGGAGGGCGGGAGTCAGTGTACCTGGAGTGGGGTGTGCAGCCCTGTCTGCATCACTGCCTCTCAGTGTATGCTGTTTTCAAAGTTAGTAAGCTTAGAAGCAGTCCAGAGCGAGTATGAGAGGCGCAAGGAAGCAGGCTCTTGGACCAGCTTACTAACGCGGGCTTTATTGCGCCCTTGTGCTGGGGTGGAGCCCAGGGCCTCTGCCAGCCAGGCGAGGTGAGGTGAGGCGGGTGCCCACCGAACAGCGCCTCCAGCCTGGGGTAACACTGTTTTTTGTTTTTTTGCCATTCCGGGGATGGAACTCAGGACCTTGCACTTGCAAGGCAGGCGCAGCGCCGCTGAACTACATCCCCGGCCCTGCGCTGTGATTTGAAGAGGTGCGCAGACGTTTGTTGTGGTCCTTCATGCTGCATATGAGCTGCAGCTGGAAGTATTTATTTAAAACTACAGAATCCATGAGGGGAGGGCATTCTGACCACAGCATGTCCCGCTGCCTTGGAGGCGGGGGTGTGCCTGCCTGCCTGGTAATCCGCTCTCCGGTGGGCTGCTGAACGTTAGGTACATCACCCTGCCGGTCCTGCAGAGATCGAAGTTCAGAGCAGGAGGCAGATGTTACATGCACTAGATGTATCTGGTGCACGTGAGTGCCTGGACAAACCTGCTTCCCAAACCTAGCTAAGTTTTCACAAACTTCCCTGGGTGTTTCCCCAATACCAAATTTTGTTTGCTGTTGAAGATTAGGTTGTGCCGGGTGCCCTCTAGTGGTAACTTGTTTAATTTTAGGGTGCAAAGCTTGTTTTTCTCCTCGAGGTTGGGAGCATGGACGGTTTGTTTTCTGAATTACTGACTGGTAAGGTGGTTTCCCCAGAGGGCACAGCCACCCTCCGCTGGGGAGAGCAGAAGGCTGCCCGGCGTGGAGCCTGCAGGGGCTCGCCTGTGATGCAGACAAAGGAAAGTCTCTAGCAGTGCCCCTGCTGCATTCAGAACACAGGGAAAACATTACTGACTCAAACCTCAAACAGCTTGGCAATAGCCTGCAGTGTTTTTAGCCCCTTGCTTCGTCCTCCAGCGCTAACGTAAGACATTTGTTCATGGTTCTTTCCCAAAGTGTTTATATGAACAATGTTCACATCAACCTGCCTATTCCGTACACTTCAGCTGTCTTACATAAATATTTTTGTTTCTGCTTTAAGATAAAAATGATGATGGAGGAAAAATAAAGCATCTTACATCCTCGAGAGAGTGTAGTTATTGTGGGAAGTTTTTCCGTTCAAATTATTACCTCAATATTCATCTCAGAACGCACACAGGTAGGACTTTGTTTTTTAAAGCATGTATTAGTTAAAGGAGTTACGATGTAATCCTCTCGCTCTTTGGTTCAGATACTCTGCCAGGGCCTTGGAGTAGCTGAGAACTGCAGTGTGGGTTGCAGCCGTTACCCCACTTTATTACCACTGTACCCTGAACAGTTGTCCCATTCTGAAGATGGTTACTGAATCCTGTCTCTTAGCCTTTCAAAGTCGTAATATTTTTAAATGCCACATCTTTTATTTTGAAAATACTTTCACGTTGGTAGATGAGATAAGATACTTAGTTCCCTCTAAATTGTAGAAGCAGCTGTAGGGACAGTGGTTTGGGGAGCTGTGGATTTGAATTTCATGCTTCTAGCTCTGCACGTTGGGGAGTTATTTAACTTTTTGTAGCCTCATTTTCCTGGCTGGAAAAGTGCAGTTAAAAACATGAATTTTTTTTTTCTAGTACAGATAAATCACTGTTTTGTTTTTCATCATTTGTTTTTTGAGTCAGGGGCTCACTGTATAAGGCTGGCCTTGAGCTTGCGATCCTCCAGCCTCAGCCTTCCAAGGGCTGGGATCAGAGGCGAGGGCCACTGTGCCCGCCTTGTGTTCCCACACTGGGGATCGAACTCAGGACTTGCACTGAGCTAAGTCTCCCGCCCCTGTGTTCACATTTTTAAATGTGAGGGTGCAGAACAAAGCTCGTGAGAAGTGTAGCCCTGAGGATGAGCAGATGGAGAGGGGAGGGGAAGCCCTGTGCTGAGGCTGTGGGTGCTGGGAGGCTCTGGGGCCTCTGCTCAGCACCAGTGACGTTGATGTCTGTTGCAGGTGAGAAGCCGTACAGGTGCGAGTTCTGTGACTATGCCGCGGCCCAGAAAACGTCGCTGCGGTACCACCGGGAGCGGCACCACAGGGACAAGCAGGGGGATGCCAGGGCCCAGGGCAAGGGCGCGGAGCGGGAGGATGCGCTGCCCGCCTCCAGCTCACAGACCAGGAGCTCGAAGCGATCCTTCCACGGAGCCCAAGATGTGAAGGGCGCCCCGCCGGCCAAGCTGCCCCGGGACCCGCCGCCTGCCCGCCTCGGTGCTCAGGACAGCAGCGGGAACCCTAGCCCGCGCCCTGCCGCCCTCGGGGAGGAACCCCGGCCTGGCGCCGATGGCCAGGAGCGGCCCCTGAACCTGTCCCGCGGGGCCCCGCACTGCACCGCGCTGTCTCTCAGCAGAGCCCTGATCCCCAGCGTCACCTGCCCGTTCTGTACCTTCAGGACCTTCTACCCCGAGGTCCTGATGATGCACCAGCGGCTGGAGCACAAGTACAACCCTGATGCCACCCGGGGCTGCCGCAGCAGGGCCCCACTCAGGGCACGGCGCACCGGCTGCCCACCCGCGCTGCAGGGCAAAGACGTGGCTCCCCTGCCCGTGCCGCCCCGGCCCCGGCCCCGCCCCCGGCCCTGCCCTGCTGCACAGCCCAGGCCCGCGCCGCCCGAGAAGGGTCGCCAGGGCCCCACACCGCCGGCAAGGGTGCCCCCGGCCCCGGGCACTGAGCCCAGCACTTTAGCCCCCAGCAACCTGAAGGCCCCGCGGCCCCACCCGAGCTCCGGAGTCCCGGGAGCCTCCAGGCCACAGCAGCCGGAGGCGTTTCCGAAGGCTGGTATGCCCTCCGGCCCGGACAAGACCAAGAGAGCCGAGACCAAGCCCAGGGCCCTGGCTGAGGCCCCTGTGCAGCCCCCTGTGGGTGGCGGCGGCAGCAGCAGCGGCGGAGGAGGCGCGACCCCGCCCGGGGACTGCGCCCCAAAGAGCGAGGGGCCCTGGGCTGCGCCCGGGAGAGACTACCTGTGCCACCGGCAGGCGGCCGAGCTCGGGGAGCTGCTGCCCAAGAGACTGAAGGCCAGCGTTGCGGCCCCGGACACTGAGCAGCCCGGGCCCACCTGCAGGCGGAGCTACGACCTCCCCAAGTACCATGCACCCCGGGGCATTGCCACGCTGATGCCGCAGGAGTGTGCGTGCCCGCCAGCGCCCCTGCCACCCAAGCCCCGCTTCCTGGGCCCCGGGGACTCGGATGCCCCGAGCGTGCAGGCCACGCAGAGGTCCTTTGGCGGGGGGGCGCTGTACACCTGCGCGCCCCCTGGGCACCCTGCCGCTGGGCTGGCGCTGGAAGGTAGGCAGACGCGGGGCTGCTGTCCCGGTGCCCAGCCCTCGGGGTCGGGTCTCACTGTGGCATAGCTACACCTCGTGCTAAAGTGGGGTCTCCTCTCGTGAACAGCAGGGCTCTGAGCCCGCCCAGCCCTTCCCTGCTGTGGGAGCTGCAGGTGCATGTCTGCCCTGCACACCTCCGTGTGGGGCTTGGGTGCCTCCCAACACACCCATGCCAAGGGCACCTTGGGAGGCTCAGCCTGGCCGGCCGCTGCCCAGGGCTGCGTGCGCCTCACAAATCAGCTTGTGGGGCCTCCCCATGGCGGGCAGGAGGCCAGGGTCCGGTTAGCAACCTCGCTTCAGTCCAGTGCCTTCCTTTACCAGGCCTCGGCCCCGGCCTCAGGGAGTCCGGTCTGCTGAGCCTCTGCCTGTCGGGGTCCTGTGTGGACCCCAGACACTGTGGGCTGGGCGAGGTAGCGATTGGAAGGCAGTTGCTTTCACACCCTCCAGTGGGCTTTACTGAAATTGTGATGAAAGTAGTTTTTGCTGCTTTTGGGTTAAAAGTGGCAAATGTGCACCCACCCTAAATGGACCCAGATCACAACTGTAGGAGCAGAAGGGCTCTATGTTGGGGCTCACGTCCCCTCGGAGTTTTTCTTCTGACACTTAAAGTTGCTTTGGGTTCGAGATACACATCGGTGTAGTGTTCTATTCTGCCATTCTCTGGTGGCTTTTTTTTTTTTGGTACTGGGAATCGAACTCGGGTCCTTGCACCTGTTCAGGAGGCGGCAAAACTATTGAGCTACATCCCCAGCCCCTCTCTGGTTGCTTTTAAAGTTCTTATTAATGACAGCCTGGAAGCTAGGCAACTTCAGGGCTTAAAATGCTGTGCTAATAATTCTTCTCATAAAACAAATGGCTGCAACTGCACAAACACACCTGTGTGGTGTGTGTGTGTTGCAACATAAAGTGCTCACACTCTTAGTGTTGGGGATTTCCGTGTCATGTACCCCTCATGGAATCACTTGAATGTACGCTGAGTGCTGCTTTTTTTATGCTTTCCTTTCAATCAGGAAAAAGACCTGTGTCCTACCAACACTTAGCCACCAGCCTCCTGCAGAAGAGAAGCTACGAGAGTTTTATTGGGAGTGCACATTATCGACCAAATGACAAAAAGACTTGATTTCCTATTGGGGAAGAAAGGTGAGCATATGTTTTCATAAAATATACTTCATTTATTGATTGAAAATCATTTAGTTTGTCCAGGGTAACATGAAGTGATTTTTAATGTTAAACTTTTTCAGAAGGTGTCTTAAGATTAGCTGTAGTATTTAGGCCTGCAGATGTCAGTAGTGATGATGGTAGGAAGGAGCGACACGGCAGCTGAGCTCGCCAAGTGTTTACTTTGTGCCAGGCCCCAAGTGCCAAGTCCGAAGTCCCCCGGCCCGACTGCCACAGCCGCTAGGTCAGGTTAACCCTCCATACTAAATCATAGAAATAACTAACCCCAGCACCCAGGAGGCCGAAGCAGGGCAGTTGCCACCTTCAGGCCAGCTGGGGCTACAGAAGGAGCCCTGCCCCAACAAAACCAAACCAAAGCCCGGGTGTGGTGATGCACACTCACGAGGCTGAGGAAGGAGCATTGCTGCCAGTCAGGGCCAGCCTGGGCGCCACAGTGAGACCCTGTCTTGAACAAAACAGGAAAAACAGCTCTGAAGACCAGGCGCCGCGTTGGGGATGGAGCTCTGGTAGAGCAGTTGGCTAGCACGTGAGGTCCTGGATTTGACCGCCAGCTCTGCAAACACAAACCAAACCCCCTTATCAGTAAGGGAGACTGCAGCGCAGGGACCTGAGGCGGTGTGGGCTCTGCCCGATCTCCCTCCGAGACCCAGCCTGTGCCGCCCGCCCGCCCGCTTTGCACACGTGGGGCGCTGCTGAGAAATCTGCCAGGAACGGGAGGCTTCTCAAGTGTATTCTCTGCACGTGGTCTGTCCCGTTGTGGGTCAGCGTGGGCGTGCGGCGTGAGTGAGTGCGAGTGCGCGTGCTGAGCTGCAGGGCTCCTCTGCCTCTCCATGGACAGCAGTGACTCCGGCCTGCCTCCTGGGCGTCGGCAGAGCCCTTGCTCCCTAGGGGCTTTCCCAGCCGGGCTATAGCCCAGTGAACTCGGATTCCAAGTGCCGCCTCGGCATGGATTTGGCAATTGTGACATTTGCTTAGCTCATTGGCTTTCTAGGTCCCATTAGTTCCATTTATTCATTTATTTTACTTAAAAAATGTTTTCCTAAGCTGCATTCTTCATCTTAATCACTTGAAGCATTTTTTTTCCCCTTAGGTTTTGCCGGATGTAAGTGCATACTCTCCGTGAAATTAAACTTTGGTTCATCCTCTGAGAAAGGAAATGGTGAAGCTACTGAAATAAGCTGTGATTGTACTGTATTAGAGCACGCGAGGAGCATGTGAGGAACACTACAGCTTCGGAAGGTTGTTCTGTAACTTTTGTACCAAATAGCAATAAAAACGAGTTGGAACAGTTGGGCCATACACAGGTGGGGACTGGAAATCTCTATTTTGTCCCTGAATAATATTTTTTTTAGAATTGACCAAATAAGTGGAGTTTTGCATCCTTGAGCGCTGCTGAAGAGAAATCACTGGGGCTGGGGCGGGGGCGGGGAAAGTCTATCATGCTTGCATCTCAGGTAAGAGTCTGTAAATATCTAAGTTGTAAACCTGCTTGTTTAAATACTGTGTGTATTCCTTTTCCCTGATGGAGCTCAACACCTGTAGCATTGTCTGCTGTTTGTGCTCATTTAAAAATGTTTGTTTTTAAAAATTTTCTAAGGGTCTGTATTGTGTCAAATCCCCCCAACCTGTTGTCTGAACAAAATGTTGGCGGAAGTGTCGGGCGTGGCCCTCTCTGAAGACGGGGGGCTGCACCCTGACCCCGTCCCTCATGAGGCGGTGTCCCTGGGCCTGTCCGGTGTCCCCAGCCTGTCCGCTGAGCTGTTTGTGGAGCTGTTTCCGTTTTTTGCCATCTGTTGCTTCTGTGGGAAGATTTAGCTTTTTGGGGAGTGTTTGGCTAAATTAATCTATAAAAAATGCTAGATTGCAAATAGTGAGAAGCAATTTTAAGGGAATGAAGGGCCTTGGGGCAGATGTTAGGTGTGTATCTGAGAGTCGCAGCCACCAGGTAGTGCAGACGTGGATTCAGAGTGGGAAACTAGGAAACTAACCGCTGGCCAAGCCCCCAGGGCGGGGCAGGGAACTGGGACCCCGCTGGTCTCCTGCATATGAGGCTGTTTCGCCCACGCACAGGCAGTTTGGGTTTTAGATGGGAGCCCACTTGGCGTTTTAAACTCGTGTTTCTTTGATGTGTTGTCCATGGCTGAGTTTTCCCAGCAGTTCATGAGTTTAGCAACCACAGAATATTTTATGAAGAAACTATTTCAAAGATAAATTTGCACTGCCCATTTTTTCTGCCCTGCTCCTCTGTGGAGGGCGAAGTGCTCTAAGAAGCCCAGTGTTTCCTTAGGCAGCAGCACGCTGTCCTGGGTCTGCCTCCCGGTGTGGGCTCCCAGGTCGAGCCGGAGTGCACGCTCGCCCAAGTCCTGTTCACAAGCTGAGCCATATGTACATAATCTAGATGGGTGTTTTCATAGTTTTGCACTTTTTATAGCCTATTTTTGAAGATTAGCACATTTGCAAAATGATTGATTCAGTCTTTGCCTAATCCAGTGAGTGTTACAGAAAGCTTGCTGGGATATAAATGTAAGTCTTAAAAAAGGGATGTGGTAACAGCGGGCTGGAATTTAAAACTATTAAAAAAAAATCACCAAATCTATGTGAAAACAAATCAAGTTTGTGTTACGCTGAAATTTTTGGGCTTTTGTATCTCCTTTCCAACTACATTTCTGAACGCATAAAAATAGCAATTTTTTTTAACAGCCCTTTGTACTTCAAAGTATGTTTGTGTCCATCAGTATTAACTATTGGAATACTACTGCTTTTGTATGTTTTTTTCCTTTGAGACAACAGTACATTTAATAGAGGTACAATTCGTTGAATTTTTGTTGATGTATTTATTTTATTCCAGTTTGATTTATTTTAATTGTTACTTGTCAAACAGTAGACATTACTTATTTTATTTATGATATATTTCAGCCTAAAGTTATGTTATTATATGTGGATGTAAATATAGATTTGGTGTTTTGCAGTCATTGCCTTTTGTTTTTACTGTATTCCTGGTTTCCGGATTTTATTTCACTTTATAAATGTGGCCTTCAGCACGCACAGTAACACGGTTATTGTAACGAATCCGTGTTCTTGTTTGGTGGAGTCTTTTTAAAGCAATTCTCAGACGCAGTTGTCTCACCCCCGCAGTGACGCTTTGGTAAGTGTCCTCATCCAGTGCCCACATGCGCCACCTCACCGCGTCTGCACTCCGCGACAGCTCCGCCAGGACGGAACTTCCTGCTTGCCTCTTGGCCAAGCGTGGTGACACAGGCGTAATCCCAGCACCTGGGAGGCTGAGGCAGGAGGATCGTCGTGAGCACAAGGCCAGCCTGGGCTACATCATGAGTTCAAGGCCATCTAGATCTGGGCTGCAGGGCAGACGCTGTCTCAGAAAACCAGAGGCCGACTCCCGTGGCCCTGGACCTGTTGCTTTGCAGAGCCTGTCGATGCGCTCAGTACAGCCAGTCGGGCTTCGAAGCCTCTGACTCCAGTGCTGCCCCAGTGCTGATCACGGCCCTCCATGCCTTCGGTGTGCGCGGGAGGGCCTCAGTGTGGGTGTCTTGCCCCCTTGCGAGGAGGCCGCACCCGCTCTGCCGCCCTTGTCGCCCTACGGCCGGATGTGGACTCGCTCTGTGCCGCCAGGGGGCGCCGTCAGCCCGCCGCCCTCAGTTCAGCTTAGTGGTGGGTGGTTTTTTTTTTTTTTCTATTTCCCCTTTTCCTCCACCTTTTTTTTTTTTTTTTTTTTAAGTTTCTTAAATTCTTGTATTGGTACATTTTAGGTATACAGTACGGTCACATTTCTCACTGGGACCCTGTATCTGCACACGATGCACCTTGGCTCTTGTTTTCCCCATTCCCTGCGCTCCCTTCACCCCTCCGCCCTTCCCTATTTACATAGCCTTCGTTTCCATTTTTCTTCTCATAATTTTTCCTCCTTCACTGGTTTTTTAAAATGAATTCTTTACTAGTGCGTGTGCTGACGAGGTTCATTGTGGGGAATAGGTCCCCGAACCAAACATCACAATTCCTTTCCCATTCCTCTCCACCAGTTTTTTATTTTAATTGTTTTATTGTTGGTTATCATAATCAGATTAACAGCCCGACAAACACATAAGACTATTACACTAAACCGATGTCACAGCACAAGTTGCTTTTTTAAAAAGAGGTTTCCAGGGCTAGGGATTTAGCTCAGTGGTTCCGCCGCCTGCCTCGCAAGTGCAAGGTCCCAAGTTCGATCCCCAATACCCGCTCTCCCGCTCCCCCCAAAAAGGTTTCCACCTCTGTGGAAATACTGTAAAGACCGTGCTAGTGAGGGTCTGGGTAGCCTGGGAAATCTGGAATGGCACTGTATTGGGAAAATGCTGATTCCCGCCGCTCAGGTTTCCCCGGCCCTGGAAGGCAGTACTGGGCACCAGGGCCGGGCACTGGAGGGTGGGGGGCTGCTCGGCCCTGCTCCCTGGGCTGCAGGAAGCGGCCGCTCCCCCTGCCTGGCCTCTTGAGCTCCCGGTTACGTGTTTAGGGGATGAGAAAAACCTCAGTGACGCATTTCCAATTCAAGTTTTCTGCGTTTTTGATTTTATGTTTGGTTATCTGAAACACCGAGTGCCTGGTGCTCCCACGACTCACCTGCTCTACCTGCTCTACCTGCCACAGTCTGCCCAGAGTGCTTCAGTTCCTGCAGCCCTAAAAGCCTGGCTGCTCGCCGCCGCTTTGAGCACTTCCTGTAGTTGTAGAGGCCCACAGTAACTTTAATCTCAAGATTTTGCAGTCAATTTTTTGTTTGTTTTTTGAGGCAGGGTCTCCCTTTGTAGTTTATTCAGACTGGCCTCGAACTCTGGGCAATCCTCCTGCCTCAGCCTCTCGGTGCTGGGATTACAGGTGTGGGCCGCCCTGCCCAGTGCAGTAAATTTAGTATTAAAATGTTTATACAAGTTTTTCTTTCCCTGATGTCTCCTTTCTTTTGTTGGACTGTATGTAACAGTGCTGCTGTAACCCTAGATGACGACATGAAGCCTGTTTCTTTTTTTGGTTTGCTTTTTTTGAGACAGGGTCTGGTCTCACTGTGAGGTTCAGGCTGGTCTTGAATTCAAGGCAATGCTCCTGCCTTGCCTCAGCCTCCCGCTGGGATTACAGGCGTGCGTCAGCACGACCGCCTTCCTAAGTTTCTTGTAGTTCTGTGTCTATAGCAGTCGTTTCCAAATTGTTGCTCCAAACCAGCACACGGATCAGCTGGCAGACATGCAGGTTACGGGGGCCTCCCAGACCTGGCCTGCAGGATCCGGGGACACCTGTGACCCGCTGAGGTCCTCGCTCCCATCTTTGGACAACACTGTCTCCTCTTTAAATAAATGCAATTTTATTTTAAATACTTCGCTGCAAGGTGGAAACTGAAAGCAGGTGCCCGCGGAGCTCGGGCACATCGGGCACATCCGGGTCCCGCAGCTCCCACCTGACTTCTCTGTCCGCGGAGGAAGCGGTGTGATAAAGCCGTGCGCCGCGCGCCTGCCAGGGCAGGACGGGCGGGGGGCGCAGTCTTCCCACGGATGACGGGGAGGGTGGGAGGCTGGGCCCCGCTCTTGCACAGCGCCGAGCGCCTTTCCAGGGTCAGAGTGTGCAGGAGTTTGGGTTATTTTAACTGAACTGTTGTGCATCCCAGGCAGGCGCTCTGCCACCGAGCTGTATATTCTCAGCCTGCCTTCTGCGGTTTATTTTTTTCCTTCACTTTTCTTTTGTGGTACTGGAGATTGAACCCAGGGCCTTTGCACTGAGCTACACCTCTAGCCCTCATTTCTCAATCCCTCCTGCCTCAGCCTCCCAGAGTGCTGGGATGACAGGCGTGCACCAACCTGCCTGGCTGGGTCTTGTGCTTTAAGCTACTGCTGGCTGCGGCTTTTGTTTGTTTTGGTCAAAGGTGGTCTTAATGCTGGGGGCAGGGGCGACCTCGGCAGGGTGGGGTTCGGGGCCTGCGCTGTCCGCCCCCATTGTCTCCCTCCCCTCCCACGGCTGAAGATGACGCCACGAAGTGGACCCGGCCTCGCGTGGCTCCCGAAGGTGACCAACAGGTAAGCGCCCAAACTCGGGAGGAGCTGGGTGCGGTGGCGCGCTCTTGTGAACCCAGCTGCTGGGGAAACTGAGGCAGGAGGATCGAAAGTTGAAGCCTAACCCGGGCAATAGACTCTATTTCAAAACCAGGCAAAACTACAACAACAACAAACCTTGTTCTGCTACAGCTTTAATGCCACAGCATCCTCTTGGATGTGCCACACGAAGCAGGTTCTGGTCTCAGGCTTTTTAAAGTATGGAAACAACCGTGTTCTCCGAACAGTAATGTTATGTGCAGGCCTGGGGATTGAACCCAGCAGCTTCACACTGAGCCACATCCCCAGTCCCTCCTTAAAAAATTCTTTTTTTGGGTCCTGCTACGTTCCTTAGGCCGGCATTAAACTTGTTATCCTCCTGCCTCAGCCTCCCGAGAAGCCAAGATTACCCGGCTGAGTTGGCCGCTTTAAAATAGCAAAGGTGGCAAAGTGCACCACGGGCAGGGTGGGGGATCTGCTGGCGCCGCGCGGGGCCGGAATGCCAGGCTAAACGCCGAGGGACTTGCAGGGCACCGAGGCTGGTGGAGGGAAGGGCTCAGAACTGCGCTGCGTGGGGCTCGCTGCGCCAAGCTGAGGGCGGCGTGGAGAGGCCGTGGGAGAGGCCGAGCCGTCAGCCTTCGGGGCGGGGACAGGGACAACACGCGGGCGCAGCTACATAGCCGGGCGTGGAGGCGCTAGCCTGTGATCCCACCTCTCCGGAGGCTGAGGCAGGAGGCTCCCCAGGAGTTCGAGGCCAGAGGCTGAGGCAGGAGGCTCCCCAGGAGTTCGAGGCCAGCCTGGGTTGCCCAGTGAGTTCAAGGCCAGGCTGAATCTAATAGCGAGACCCCCTGTTTCCAAAACAAAAACAACAAAACAACAAAAAAAGAACTGCATATAAATCAGGCTTCAGGGCGCACCTGGTGCTCAGGCTGGGGCTGGCCTGCGATTTCACACAGCTCCGCGCACCATGTCCTCAGGACGATGTGGACAGAACCCCGCCGTGTGGGGTGAGCCACTCGCTCAGCGGGCAGCAGCAACACCTCGGGCAAAGGACTCGGGTGCTGCTCCGTCCTGCGCCCCTCGCGCGCCCTGGGGAGCCTGGTTGCCTGGAGAGGGAGGCGGCGCCTGGTCCGGGCTGCGGGAGGAACTCGTGTTTGCGGGGTGCGGCGGCGGCCGTGGGTCCCAAGCAGAGGATCGCTGGGACTCCACAAGCTCGGGAGGCCGAGGCAGGAGGATTGCTGGTCTCTGCCCAGTGTGGGTCTGACCTCAGCAGAGTTGCCTGCCGGGGGGACGGTGTGTGGGCGCTGGGTGTCATCTTGTGGCCCAGGAGACACTTGCGGGCCAAGGTGCGGGGCGGCCTGGTTCGTGGTCTCACCCATGGGACGCAGAGCAGGGTGGAAACCCAGCAGCCCGCCCTGAGCCTCGGCTGGGCGGCCGGGCCGGGCCGGGCCGGGCCGGGCCGGGCCGGTCCGAAGGGTGCGCAGGCGGCTGGGCGGGCTGGGAACCAGAGCCCCTGCGGCTCTCTCGCTGCTGGCCGCTGACCCGTCCTGCAACCCACGATCCGGACTCAGACGCATGGAGGCTGCGGGGCGGGGCCGAGTGCGCACCTGTGAAGTGTGCAGACCTAAGTGGTCATTAGAGACACTGTACGTCAGGTTCTTTTTTTAAATTTTGGGACAGGGTCTCACTATGTAGCCCAGGCTGGCCTCGAACTCACAGGGATCCTCCTGCCTCAGCCTCCCGAGTGCTGGGAATACAGGCGTGCGCCACTGCGCCCGGCTGTTTCTTTTGCTGTGAACTAAATTCGCATTGGTGCGAATGCCATGATTCGAGGATTCTTCCAGGAGCTCGGTTTCAAAGTCAGGGTGGACGGAAGCGTGTGTTTCCATCGTGGCCGCATGCGGGCG